CTTCTTATATTCTCTAATGTCTAGTTGTTTGTCTAAGTGATGTAATTGAAGCGTAATGCATTTTATCTTAATTTTGATATTCCATACTCTCTCTCTCTCTCTCCCTCCCTTATCTATTCGAACACGACCTGGAAACACATTCGCACCTGTCTTCTTTCTGCATGACTTATTCAATGTAGTTTGGTTACTTATCAGTCTTATATCTTCCAATGTAATTTCAAAGGTATGTATATATATCCGTGTATGTAGAGCAGTATTCAGCTGAGGAAGAGTTCTACTGAAATTTGATGAATTCATGAAATCATCCTGTTTTATTAACCTTTATTGCTTGTTTTAAATTTAAGACTGTGTTGACTAGGAATCGAACCCCAGACCACGTGAGTGGTTGTTGAATGCTTTATCAATGAACTACAGACGTTTAATCAATAGGCAATTGAATAAATGTCAAAACTTAAATATATACCCATTATGATGATTATATAAGGCACCATTTATGCAAGCAAACACGTATTTTTACGTAAATTCTCAGCATGTAACGAGAGAAGACAAGACACTTGGTAATGAAATTGATATTGGAGAAAAATACACACCATATTTATACATTTTTAGCCATATTTAAGGTTAGCCTAGGTCAGCGGATAATCGACTCTTCTGAATGGTTGTTGATTTTTCGGAGGGCAACACCTTGAGACGAAAAGTTGACTGGGTAGATTATTTCTTGAGAAGAACGTAAACTATATCCAATCACGCATCTCTGGTGGTCATTAACATGAAGTTCTGTTTTCAATTTCGGCTGCTTCGTAATAACTTACATCTATGTACTAGTTCTAAACCTTATCTGTAATATTATGATTATTCCTTTTGTGTGCCGAGTGAAATATGGGCCTCCAACAACACATCGCCATTTTCTTCTTTCATCTGCTGTCATCTACAGCTGGCTGGACACACTATCGCCCATAATCTCTCATCTTTTCTTCCATAACACACGATCTCCTGCATGTCACACTCGCACCGACCATCCACTCATCTCCTCTCATGCGCATTCTGCTAGAGCAATGGCCTGAATTGAGCGCAGTGTCATTCGACGGACTCCTCAGTGGCAAGTGTCTCATCCATCACCATTCCCTCCTGCATATTTGTTGAGCGATGGGCTCTTATCTGTTGGTTTCCTCCCAATCACAGTTTCTTGTCACTGATTTTCTCTGGCTATTTGATCTTCAGTATGGAGCCAGCTAAGTGAAGTCAGCTGTTGATCTAATTCTGTAGCAGACTGTTGGAAATCCTCCTCGTGACACACACACACACACAATGCAAGTTTCTGACCCGTACACAAGAACTCACTGACTGACTTCACATCACTGTTGAACAGAATCTGATTCTTGTTCTTCATCCTGGCTGCTTGGCTGGCTGACTGGCTGGCTGAGTGAGTGACAGCACAAGATTTCCAAACTGGTTTCAGATTCATGGAGGTGTACAATCCTCTCTGGCTGGCTAGCTGGATTTCACATCTTCATTCGTGCTGTCTAAATTACCTGTTTATGCTAGCCATGGTAGGGACAAGGATTGAACGTATTTCTTCTAGATACATAACATGGACTTGAGCTTTTGGATAGCTAGTGCCTCGGTTATGCCCTGATGTCTTAATTTCACTCTTTAGGCATTTGGGCATAACCGAGGCACTAGCTATCCAAAAGCTCAAGTCCATGTTATGTATCTAGAAGAAATACATCCAACCCTTGTTCTTGTCATGGCCATCATAAACAGGTAATTCTTATAGTAATGATTATCCCATTGACTTTCTTATCCAAACTTCCTGTTTGTTCATGTTATTTTTAAGTTTTTGTTAATCCCTATTTACACTACCATATTTTCATATTCGAACCTCTTGTCTTTTCGTCATCTTAATATTTCTACATATTTAATCCTTAACTGCATAAACAATTATTCGTCACATTAGTTATGATCCCACTGCATTTTTTTTTATCCAAATATCCTGTCTATTTTTGTTATTTCTACATTTCTAAATCACAATTGCACAATATGTCAATCATCTCAGTAATCATGATGCTACTTTGTTTGAGGTTTATCCGTCGCCATCCCCTGTTCATTATGTTATTTTTATTCCTAATTGTAATTTTTATTGATTTGACCCTTGACTGAAAATTATTCTGGAACTTTCCCATCCATTTGATATAAATACACACGAATGTACAGCCTAGTTGATGTTGGCTTCGTCGAAAAGAAAATTTTCTTCGCTGCAACTGTCCCTCAAGGCGCTGTCCTTTCTCCTTTTCTTTTTTCTTTCTTCTTGCATGACTTGCCTTACTTTGATGAAATGAACTTTGTGAAGTACGCTGATGACTTAACAGTTTCAATAGCTGTTAACTCCCGGCTAGATTGTACCAAAATAAATAGCTTTCTATCGGGAGTCAGCAAATGGTCTGAGTCTAACGGTCTTAAACTGAATCCTTCTGAATGTCAAACTCTTAATTTCATCTTAAGATGTAAAAGACAGTTAAAAGAAGTCATCGATTCTCATGACAGTTTTAAGATTGATGACAATGATACAGGAATCAAAGCAGAAATCAAGTAAGTATCTTAGACTTATACTCTCTTCTGATCTCTCCTGGTCTTCCCATGTCTTAGCGATCTCCAGTAAAATATTCCGCCTGACATTTTACATTAAGAAGTTTAGGCACTCAGGTATAACTCAAACCCTCCTCTTACAGTTCATAAACTGTTTCATCCTACCTATTCTTCTTTATAATTCACCCTTATTCTTTCCTAGTTTGTTTAAAAAGGACTATGTCACAATTCGTAGAATGCTGAAGACGGTCAGTAGGGTGAGTGGTGTCTTAGTGGACCACATAGTTAATGTTGTTATCGATAGGCACTTGACTTCGTCCAATAAATTTGCTAAAGGGATTTTGTCTGACTTGGAGCATCCACTTTACCCTCAACTTTCACCTTGCATCTCCTCAGGTAGAACAAGAAGTAACTTCAGAAAACTGTGTGCTCGTTCGTCTAAGTATAAAAATTCTATGATACTATACTTGGAACGTATTTTATGTGATGAAAATAGTGTCAGGCAAGAATTAACTAACCTGTTTTCATCTAGTAAATAAACAATTTCCTCCATCCATCCATCCTTATATACCTTCAAGTTTTACTTTTATTATTTCTAATATATTTATGGTCCTGTTACTTCTCTGTTTTTTACTCTCAGAATTGCAAACACCAACTTATCTCCATGACGGCTGTAATCTTTGTTTTTCCCCTCACCATATCATGTAAAGAGAACATTATATTCAATATTTTTAAACATGCTAGGATTTTTATACCGCATATAACGACAATACTGTGTGAAACAAGCCCACGGAAATTTTCATTTGTATTCTTATTATTATTACCCTAGCTGTTATCATTATTATTGTTATTTCCATTTTATATGCTGCATATTTTTGACATTACCCTTATTGTAAATGTAGAAAATTTTCTGTGTGACTAGTTTTTATTTATAATTTGGGGATATTAGATGCAATATTATGATTAATGCTGAAAATTCCATTCTGTATCACAAGTACTGTTTTTGGAATAAAGTAAATCATTATTATTATTATTATGGGTTTAGAGGAATGCTTTAATCAACATGTCAGTTGTTATGTTTGGTTGTTTTATAAAGGTGTTTTATCAGCTTTTTTTTTTACTGAGCTAGACTGTCTGTTTTGATGTTTGCTATTCTATGCCCGAAAACACCTCGTGATGGCTTTTATCCTCACTCAGAGAAGTTGTGTTATTCTCCTCATGTGTTAAACAACTGTGTCCTATTCGCTATTTTACGCATTTTCTCACCGGAATACGGCTTTTTTCTGAGACAACTGGTCGATTCATTGTCATTGATGCGCTGCTTTGGTTGAAGTTCACTGTATCTTAAATCTTTCCTGAATACTGTCTTCATATAACATGGTATTAGTACAGATATTACTAGATATCAAAATCATTCCCCAAGAAAATAAAGATCTGATTTGTAGCAGGAATCGAAAAATAGGGACTTCTAGACAGTAGAGCAGGATTTTCTACAAAGTGGATCTCGTAGATCACATCTAACATACATATCACCTCTGAAGTAACTGAACCCCTAGTCAGACACAACCGCTAACAAACATCTAGTCTGTTATAAGACTGGTTAGCATAATTGTGTTCCAGTTGTGACCAACTTAGAATCTGAGGCTTTCCAGTTAAGTCAAAAATACCAGTTAGTTAGAATTACGTCAGAGACTTTTGAATGGAATACGAATGTCAAACAACAAGTAGGCGGTATCCAAGAGTACTATGGAAGAAGTCATTTGAATAGGGAGTAACAGCTTGCAGACAGTCGAGAAACCAGATGAAAAGGACCCCAAAGGACAGAATAAAATGGGATAATTTCTTCTGGAGGCCTAATTTCCATTTAGAAGGCAAGAAATGAGTAATGTTAATAGTGTGGTGAGAGCTGTCTACTAGCCAAAATTGGTAGACACCAATTTACGTCAGTGTTCACGTCCCAAATCTTGGTCATGACAGAAAACAAGAACAATAACCAACCTCGAGGAACTCAACCACTAATCACAGCATACTTTGAGTGGGCGGATACCATTCGCAGATGTTTAAGAAACGGACACACAGAGATGCCAGAGTAACCTTCAGCAGGAAGACAGTCAATCAGAAGAGGTTGCTTCTCGGCTAACAATAACGCTAATAATAATGTACATAAAAATCTATAAATATCTGTTGGTTTTCTCAATAAGTGATCTGTCGATTGATTCTTGTCTTTTGTTGTTACGATGGGAGTTATCCAGATGACAATATGAGACACACTTATAGCTGATGGCTGTTGATATTACCTAGTCACTAAGGTTGGACAAGGTTGGAACCCTGTACCCAGTGACTAGTTAATCTAGTGAATGATTAGACCAATAAGTCAACCACATCTCCAATCACAAAAATAAAGATCAACTTACTGGATATAACTGATTAGCAAAATTGTAAGTTTCTTGTATCGTTTCAATGCATATTCCCTGGAAATCATACAAGTAAGTTCTAAAATGTCAGAAGAAGTAAAGAAAAACAAAAATGGGGAAACCATTGTCAGAATAAAATTGGTGAGAAAGAGTAGTACTCATTCCAGGCTGATGCTGGCTGCTGTATAGAACCAACCAGAAACAGCTTCCAATAAATACGACTTGGAAGGAGCTATTGACACTTTGAATATTCAAACCTGTGTCTACCAGCCTTCGAGTTAGAGACAATACAATTCAGCTATTTCGAGTCAAAATGACCTTCTTTAGGAATGTGATGGATACGCTGATTAGTCATCACACTGTGACTAGTATCGATCGATACTGCTGACATTGTTTTACGCAAAAAAAACTGGAATTTCAAAGTGGATGAACGTCTCACTATCAATCTAGATAATGCCTATCAGTAGTACAAATTTCAACAGCAAAAAATGATATACAATTGGTGGATGGCGGCTAGCAGTGGAATCCAGGATGCGCATTTCGTCCTATTTGGGACTCGTCAGCTGGATGCACCTGCATTTCTCAGTGAGTGATGATGTTCCCACCGAGGCTCGAACCCAGTGCCCATAGTTTTGAACGCCAAAGCGTTATCCACTAGACCACTTGGGCCACGAGAGCCACCTCTTGTGCAACGGGTCATATTAATCATTGAATTGAATTTTTGATTTTCCAGTCGATTGATTGGACCGAAGTGCTCGGTCTCAGGTTGACATGTCGGCTTCTTGTGCAGATACTTCGACAATGTCTGGCGTTTGAAACTATGGGTACTGGGTTCGAGCCTCGGTGGGAACATCATCACTCACTGAGAAATGCAGGTACATCCAGCTGACGAGTCCCAAATAGGACGAAGTGCGCCTTATCCTGGATTCCACTGCTAGCCACCATCCACCAATTGTATACTAATTAAATTCCCAGACATCGTCGAAGCATCTGCACAACAAGCCGACATGTCAACCTGAGACCGAGCACTTCGGTCCAATCAATCGACGGGAAAATCAAAAAATTCAATTCAATAAGCAAAGAAATGAATTGTAAACATTCTCTCTTTCTGAATGTTGTAACAATATTACATACAATCTTGACTTACTCATTCAATATTGACCGATTGACTAAATCTTCTACTAGAGCACAATTAATTTCTTTTAAATTTTGTCCTACCTGGAAAAAGAAAGTTTTGTTTTCAAGGACAATTTCTAAAAAATCACCTAAATAAAATATCTTGTGAATAATTTAATTAAAGTTGTCACCAGTTGATTTTCTATTTTTTCAACTCACACAGACAAAATCCTAAAGTACAACAGCAACCATCCAATAATACACAAAAGGAATTGCATACAAACACTATTCAAGAAGGCCAGCCAGGACTCATTGCAGCACTCCCACCTACCTCAAAGAAAATTGAAGAAAGACGTCTCATGGACGTCTTCCAAAAGAATGGATATCCACGGAATTTCATCAAAAGACATATACCCCCAAGCCAGTCTATCAAACTAAAAGCCCCCAAGGAAAGCACAAAAAAGTCGCCTTATCATATATAAAGGATATCTTAGAAATCACTGCAAGACTCTTCAAACACCTTTAGGAATTGACATCGTACACAAACCAACAAAGCCACTTCACTCAATTCCATGTCAAGCAAAAGACTCAACAGCAAAAGAAGATAAAACCAACATCATCTACAAAATAAATTGTGAAAACTGCGAAAAACACTAAATTGGCCAAAACGGACGACGTCCACGAACATAAGCTAGCCGTCAAAAGACATGATATCCACTCTCTCATATCACTACATACAAACAACCACGGACATCAATTCGATTGGGACAATCAACGTTCAAATATAAGACAGTGGAAACACAAAGAATGCTAGCTGGAGAATTTTTAGAAGCCCACCTAGTATTCCAGTGAATCATCAGTCAATAGACACATCGAGATAGACAAAATTTATCAACATATAAGAAAGAAACCTCACACACAAAGGGTCAAAGTTCAAGTCAAAGAAACAATCAATACTAATACAAGTAGCCTAGAAGGTGTGAAAACACAGAGAAACAACTAATCACGTTCAAGGTCACCGACCAGGGGAGATGATTAATAAACTCGTGGAGAAATCTAAAAGCTCACTTCAATAAATTGAAGTATGCGCTGAAGATGTCGCCTAGTAGGGTGATGAAAGCTTCGCAAATTAACTATCCAGATAGCTCAGAGAACACAACTACATAAAAAGCAAATTTATTCCCGGAAAACTTACTAATAACATCCAATATAATCATCGTCATAGGAGTATATGAAGCATTAAATGCACATAGAAGTGGATATAAGGAGTAGTTCATGCCTCGTACTATGACAAGAGTTGTAGCAGATGCAAGTTAATGGCATAGAATTAATGCTTATGCGCCTAAAACACCACTATTCCTTAGTTCAGTGAGGACTTATTTTTGTTTTTATTCCTGCGCTTTCCAAGTGAAACATAGAGAGGGCTTCAAGCTAAAGGCTTGAAGTTTCGTTAGCAGTGGTGTTTATTTTTACGGGATAGGGTTGCTGTTGGCCTCATGCCCAACCTTTCCTCTTTGCCAGTCTTCTTACTGGCTTAGAGAGGTAAAGGAATGCGTCGGTGGCCCCACAAAAACAACTAGGAGTACTGGACAACTGTTTCGTCCTAGCCTGGGATTCTTCATAGTACGCACTCATCACAGGGGTTCACAACCAGAGCGTTGTGGTTACAAGGCTATTAGGCCATTGAGACTCGAGGAGTGATACACTTTCGAATATTTCTATTTATAAACCATGATCTAAGAATAAAGAAGTTCTAAGGTTTCTATGTGTTCTTTATCAAACATGACTATAGAACAAGTCTTCAAAAGTCTATTCAGATGACTACCTAAAGTACAAGAGGTGGGCGTTGCGGTTCAATCAGTAACCAGGTAAATAACGCTCGAGTAACTGAAATGATTGATACCGGGTTCAGGTTCAAGTGAGGAGACCGCCAATCGTCACTGGGGGGGGGGTGGTTAATAGAGGGCTAGTATCTCTCTGAGCTGATTTAAACCGAGTACACCCTGGATAAGCTTGGTTCCAAATAGGCGTTAACACCGTTCGGTGTTTTAATCGCTTCAATTTGACTAGCGAGTTCTTCTGGTTGGTTTCAGTAGTATCCAACTACTTATATCGACCTGTTAGTAGTGTATGAGATTCGTTCTTAATCGCCTGAGAGTTTTATTTGCAATCCAATGGAATTGTCATCCACACATTTATATAAGACCGCATGATGTCATTCAGTTTCATAAATTTCCTATGATCATAGTGATGGATGATGGATGAAGCGTTATTTTGATGAGTTCCTCTTCAGTACAAAAGAAATTTAGTAAGTTAGGACCCTCAGTCACATCGTAAGAGCTATATGCTCAGAAGAAGTAATTGAAGATGAACTTAGGATTGTATATGATACCTTGATTGAGAATAGCTATCCAGACAAATTTATCAAAAACATATTACTACAAAAGTTGAAAAGGACTATTCACTATCCGTAAACGAGAAGCCTTTATATCTACGACTGCAATTCAAAGGCGATATATCTGTCGAAATAATTGTGAAGAAGTTAAGAAAATCAGTTCAAAGAACTTTTAATGATGGCAAACTACAAGTCTTATTTTATACGCGATCGATGGTGATTCCTCGATTGAAAGATGAAGTACCTAGACTAGACTAGCCGCCTGTAATTGTATCAACCAATTCAACTGCACTTTTAGTGGAGTGAGTTATATTGGCCGTTATTCTAGGAAGTTGATTTTTCTCGCTTGCTCGGGGACATCTACCAAACCGGTTAAATAATGGTGTACTGAAAATCATAAACAGCTTTAAAATTAGAACACCTAGTCCGAATCGGCCACAAAGCCAATACTGAAGAGTCCTTTTCCAGCATCAGTCGAGTATCAAACAAACTGCCAAAAACACCCAGGAACCGCATACCTCAAACAGCAGAGGCTATCGCGATTCATCTGAGACGACTGGAGTTCTGTATGCAGAAGAAAAAAGTCCAACTATGATTACTGCTCTGGCTTGCTGTAGAGCTTGCGAATTCACAAATATCTTATTATATCGACCTTTTTGATATGGCCCTCCATCATATAGATATGAATTGCCCTATCCCCTGTCATTAAACTTGCATTAACTAACCTTTTGTTTCCCTAATTTCAACGTAAATAACTTTTGGAGTTCTGATCTAAATGATTCAATGTTACTCTTCCTAACAAAAAACCAAATAATGTTGTCAATAACAATTATTCTTTTAATATTATGAATGAATATATATAACTGTAGAACCTGGTGCTGAAGGTATCGAAAAGAATATCTTTGTTCAATAATCAGTCTTTCGCTACAGAACAGAGTTCTCTGGAATTCTAGTGAGAAGTCATGACTAGTGGTATTGTTGGTTGGTGGTTGCGCTAAATCATGAATTAGTAGAAGTTAGAATTCGTGGGTTAACCATTAAGGAGTCGGATCTCAGTACCTGAAGGGTATACGAGCTTGCTAGTCCTATAACCAAGAGGTCCTGAGTTCGAGCCCCGGCAGTGGTTGCTTTCTGCTAATGATTCCTAAAACTAGGATGAAATAACTCCATTATGGATAAGATATTTTATTTTGATAAATCACACAGTGTTGTACAGTAATGTTAACTAATGACCCCACCTCGAGCACAAACTGTGGCCACTCATAATCATATTAAGTCACTCACTCACACAACTTTGTTGCTTCATTTATATACATGGGTGGAATCGATTAGATATTTGAATATAAATCAGTATGGGATAATATACATTCAGAAATAATAATAATATGAGTGTTATTGACCAATTACAATCACATGGGATATAAGACGAGTGTTTTTATAGTCAAAATAAATAAGTAACTTGTTAGAATCTTGTGATGCTTGTGCTCCCATCGAAATAGAACTTGGAGATCATCTGTTATCCTCTTCTGATTTGACTGACTGGTGGTAATAATATTTTCCATATTTCTGGTATTTGTATTGAGTCATTTCTGTGATATGTGTTTTGGTATGTAGACTCAATAAACCAGTTAGGATTCAGTAATCAATCTCTCTTTCCACCTACGTGCATTACTTCTTAAAATTTTAACCCTCTCCCACCCTATTGTATGGTTTTGTGTTAATGCATGAATTGCGATTGCTGAGTGTTTTTTCTAAATTACTCATCTTCTCGGGGTCAATCATTCTAACCTTTACCAAATTCTTGTGTTCCACCAATCTGATTACCCCCGATCCACTAGTCTGACTCGTATAGTTGACCTCACTCACAGACATTGGAAGGTATTTTGTAAATCATATTTCTTTGTTCTATTGCGTCCACCGGGTCCTTTAGACTACAGAGCTTGTCCCTATTTGAGTGCCACCGCCCTAATTCCTGCTTTTTATTGAGAATCCTACGTGGGGAGGGTCACAGATGTCTCCTCCTTATATATATGGTATAACAATGGATGACTTATATTCTCTCTTATTTATTTATGCTACCATTACTAGTTTCACGATTACTTTTTATTTTGCTTTTGGTCTTTCCTGATCTTTCTAATGAATTTTATAGGATAGTTAGTTATTTAAAAACAACGCCTCTTCTCCTACCTGTTTCGTTTCATCGTTTATGGTTTTTGCTGTACTACTTAGTACTACTGCTTGGTTTGTTGAACAGACACTTAACTAAGCCTGCCTTCACTCACAGACAGATAACGACGGATGAGATGAATTAAAATCTAAATATCTATCAACAGAATATGCGTTGGGTTTTTTTATAATGGAGTTACACTCTACCACAGTGCCCAACTTTTGTACTTATATCAGTTAGGATGAAACAGCAGATTTCCAGTACTCCCTCTGGCTGGTTTTCAGAGTGGTTCTCTAACTGATATCAATCCATGGTCAAACTTGTAAAAAAAAACAAATCAGTCTTTTGAAAATTTATTTTTCAACTGACGTCATACTTATTTGATGAGGGATTAAAAATCAGAAATCAATAAATAGTTGTATTTTCCCTAGCCTGGAATCGAGACTAAACAACCTGTATGGATGGTAAGTATTATATCAATTGATTACTATTAGAAATCCTTATGAAAAAAAGATTTCTTATTGTATAAAATATTGAACGGTTCAATGTTCAATGAACTCGAAGGTAACCAACAAAAATCAATGAAAACTGTTAGCGATTTATATCCATTATTTTCAATAGTTGGTTGGTAAGGATTAGTTTTGTTCTTACGAGTTGATCACGGATTGATATCAGTTAGAGAAGCATTGAAAACCAGCACTGGAGTACTGGACAGCTGCTGTTTCATCCTAGTTTGGGAATCATCAGAAGTGCGCATCCACTGGGATTTTAGCCCAGGACCTACCGGTTACAAGGCCAGCTAGCTCGTATACCATTCAGCCACTGGGACCCGATTCAATGGCCAACCAATGAATTCTAACTTCTACCAATTCGTGATTTAGCATGACGCCAACCAGTGTCGTCGGTGGGACATCCATCCAGTCACGTGACATCTAACTGAACTTCACTGGTCACGACTTCTCACTAGAACTCCAGGAAACCCCAACCTGTAGTAAGTCACTCACTAGCGAGCATCAGATTAATTTTCTATAGTTTGGTTGATAAGGATTAGTTTTGTTCTTACGAGTTGATCACGGATTGATATCAGTTAGAGAATCATTGAAAACTAGGGAATACTGGACAGCTGTCACCATTGTCTCAATCTACGACTCATCGACAGTACGCACCCACTGCCAGGGATCGAACTCAGGACCTTCCGGTTATAGGGCCAGCGAGCCAGTATACCGTTAAGCCACTGGGACCCGGCTCCTCAATGGTTAACCTATGAATTCTAACTCCTACCACTTTGTGATTTAGCACAACGGGAACCAACCATTATCATCGGTGGGACATTCATCCATCAAATCCCTAGTGGGTGCGTACTGCCTATAATTCCTACACTAGGATGAAACAGTTGTCCAATACTCCAGCGCTGGTTTTCAATGCTTCTCTAACTAATATCAATTCGCGATCAAGTTGTAAAAACAAAACTAACCCTTACAAACCAAACTATAGAAAATTAATCTGATGCTCGCTAGTGACTTGCTAGAGGATAGAGTTTCCTGGAGTGTGTCTTCTAGTGAGAAGTCATGACCAGTGAGGTCCATCCAGATGTCACGTGTGGGGATGGATGTCTCACCAACGACATTGGTCAGGGTCGCGCTAAATCATGAATTGGCAGAAGTTAGAATTCATGGACTGGCCATTGAGGAGTCGGGTCCCATTGGCTGAATGGTATACGAGCTTGCTTGCCTTGTAACCGGAAGGTTATGGGTTCGACACCTGGCAGTTGGTGGGTACTGACGACGACTCCCAAACTAAGCTAACGAAACAGCTATCTGGTACTCCCTGGTTTTCAATGGTTCTCTAACTGGTATCAATCTGTGATCAACTCGTAAGAATAATACGAAGAAATCTACTCATCAGGGAAAGGTGAATCGATATCAACATCAATAGTTACTATTATTTATTTATTTGTTTGTGTAAATGTGTTCAACACTTCACAATTTAATCATAAAAAAACGCGGTATACTTGTACTGCCTGTTTATCTCAACTCACCTCTTTCTCTCCTATTTTTGAGACTAAAACCATTGCTGCTTGATTAATTAGATAACAATCAAATCCATGACTACCACAAATATGACATTCCCCTGTAAAGCATGTATTTGTAATACGATTAAATTCATTTTGTATGCCTTGATGAGTTATTTGTAAGCCAACTATACCCATTGGAACTTTACTTGGTTCATGATAGACTGTTGTTGTCATAGTAACCGGGACTTGTAGCTTTTCAGCCGCGAAATGTCGAAACACTGAATCAATGAAAAGATGAGAGAAGAAATAATAATAATAATAATAATGATTTGCTTTATTCCAAAACAGTACTTGTGATACAGAGTGGAACTGTCAGCTTTTCACTACAATATTGCATCCAGTTAGTACATTGACAATGAATAAAATTCTGCATAGATTATGGGTAATCTCAGTTAGTTTTGACAACAACATATTGGCATGTCGATAGCAAAGCCAAAAGTGAACAGAATGTTTGAAGGTGCTAGAAAAGTAGACACTAGCATATTTACTGGCGTTAGTGGTAACAAAAAGGTCGAGATATACAGAGTGTGAAAGAACGAAGAAGAATGTTTTAGGATTTCATCATGAGCTGACATTAGTTAGAGAACCATTGGAAAACAACCTGGGAGTACTGGACAGCTGTTTCGTCCTAGTTTGGGACTCTTCAGCAGTACGCACCCACCGAGATTCGAACCCAGGACCTTCCGGTTACAAGGCGAGCTCGTATACCATTAAGCCACTGGGACCCGACCTAATGGTCCTTGAATTCGTCCCAAACTAGGACGAAACAGCTGTCCAGTACTCCTAGCTGGTTTTCCAATGGTTCTCTAACTAATGTCAGCTCATGATGAAATCCTGTAGCCAATCAAATCCCTACAAACCAACACTTGAATAAGAATGTTTTCAGTAGAGTTTGTAAGGAAGAAAGAAACAAAGCAGCACATAACAAATAAGGCAAAGAATAAAAAGAGAAAAGGAGAAGAAAGAAAGAGAAACGTTGTACCTATAAATGATATGAGTTGGAAAGGCAAGATCCAGTTGTTCTACTGACACTTAATAAGTTATAATGTTCATGGTCAACGAGAGTCCTAACTGCTGTGCCGACGACACAATAACTGAATGTTAAGAATATCTTAGGCATTGGATTCTCTGTGTATATACAGCACACACCCAACGTGTTATAATATTCAGTTTACTTGCATTGGATTACATGTTAGGTTAATTTTAACCACTTCTTCTGTGGTATATACTACTAACAAGATATTATAAGTAGAACATTATATGTGTGGGTGATGGTTTGCCTGAAAGAAACTTGATTACAGAAGGTACAGATTAAGCAGCAAAAAGTAGGAGAAGTGAGTTTTGTGAAACAATATAGAATATGTGGAATAAAGATGGAGGAAGCAAATACGAAGACTTAATGGCATGAAATATTCCCCACATTGTGAATTAAAAGTTAGTCTGACTAATATAGTATACTCTTTCCAATGAATCACCTCTCTTCTTCAGGTTCATATAATTATAAACTATAATATTTGTTCTTGTTACAATTTTTTATTCTATTCCTTAAGTTCCTGGCTGACATGAGACTGAAAGCCAGAAGCTTGAAGTTTCGGTAGCAGTGGTGATCACTTTCACAGGATATGGTTGCTAGCCTCATGTCCAACCTTTCCTTTTTACCAATTTATCTACTCACTTTGCAAGGTAAAGGAGTGCTTTGGTGGCCGTGGATCAAATCCCGGACCGTGTACATATTCAGCGAGTGTTCAAACCTGTGTGCCACTGACGCACTCTTGTTACAATAATAGTCACTTATGCGGCGGACACATTTTACAGTGGATCATAGATTGGTTATTATAGACTGAAAAAATAAATAGTGTTTGCTACAGGATTTCATTATGAGCTGACATTGGTTAGAGAACCATTGGAAAACCTGCAGAGATTACTTGACAGCTGTTTCGTCCCAGATTGGGACTCATCATCAGTATGCATCCACCACAGGGGTTCGAACACAGAACCTTATGGTTACAAGGCGAGCAAGCTTGGAGACCATCAGGCCACTGGGACCCGATAATTCAATGGCCTGTCCATGAATTCTAACTTCTGCCAATTCACGCACGACATAGCGTGACCAATAGCCAATGTCTTCAGTGAGTATTTGTCCTCACACCCGACCTGCTGCACCCTACTGGTGAGGATTTCCCACTAGAGCCCCAGGTAACTAGCTACCTGAATAGGGCCAGTCACCAGTGAGCATCTCATCCATATTCAAGTGTTGGTTTGTAGACATTTGCTTGATTGGTTACAGAATTTCATCGTGAGCTGATATTGGTCGAATGTGAAGACAAATACTCGCGAAAGACATTGGCTAGCGATTGCGCTATATCGTGAATTGGCAGAAGTTAGAATTCATAGGCGGCCACTGGATTGTTGGGTCCCAGTGTCTTGATGGTCTACGAGCTTGCTCGCCTTGTAACCAGAAGGTCCTGGGTTAGAACCTTATGTGATGGGTGCGTACTGTTGAAGAGTCCCAAACTAGGACGGAGGAGACAGCTCTCCAGTACTCTCAGGTTTTCCAATAGTTTTCTAACCAATATCAGTTCATGATGAAATCCTCTAACCAACCAACCAACCAACCAACCAAATCCCTACAAACCAATACTTGAGTATATCTATACAGTTTATATTCTTCAACCAGCCACTGAGCCAGCGTGTGATTTGGGTTTACATTAAACGACATGAAATAGAATGTCCGAATATACATATATAGTATTCTGTTGCTAATGCAGTATTGAACTGTGGGAATAGTATTCAGACGATAAAACCAACAAATGCAATGATTCTTACTGTGAGAATAGTAAGTATTCCCTTGGAACCCGTTGTGTGTATCACATCACAATGTTTAAGACATTCGTAACTTTCAGTTCACTAATCAGTTTCATAGGTATAGCCCTGTTGGACCCGAAGGATAACACTGTGTTTGACTTCACTGTCTTTCTAACTGCAGTTTCTGAAGACTCTATGATTGCGAATCTTAATGATGATGCACTCCGTATATATATATATATATGTATATATATATATATATATATATATATATATATATATATATAGTTTTTTCTGTTTGAGAGATTCACTGGCTATATCAGAGCAAAACTGTAGAGCAAATTTTAATCCTGTATGTATCCACAGGTTCGAGTCCCATCTTGCCTTAATGGAACTTTTACAACGCTCAGAGATTTGGTTCACAAGTTATTACATTATTGAAAGCCCCAATGGGTTGATCGCTGACGAAATCTCTGCACAGATATACAGAAGACTTGTTACGCATATGCCCGTTTACGCCGTCTCTGGCGTATCGATAAAAAGGCGTGTGTACTGCTCAACGGTCTGCTCCGTTCTCCTTTATGGCTGTGAGATCTAGCCATTGAGAGTAGAAAATGTGAAAAAACCAGCTGTGATCGACCATAGGTGCCTGAATTCTGTCTCCCGTGTCAGGTGGTGGTATAATAGGGTGAGCAATACTGAGGTTAGGCGTTCAATGCTAAGTAAGGAGGGAAAATCAATCGACGAAACTGTGAAGCTAGATCGACTGAAATGGTTAGGAGATTTGTTACGCATGCATGAATAGCCATCGATTGCCTTCCTTGACATGTAATGTTAGCAGATTAACATAGGATCAGCTTGGAAAAGAGCTAGTGGTGGTCAAACCAAATCATGTCTTCATCAGTCACTGAAATGTACAACAGTTAGCTTAAGTCAGTCACGTGTGAAGATGTAGTGTTCTTGACTGGTTGAGGTCCTCGGAAGGATAGAAACCAATGAAGGCTGGAGACAATCGGTGATATGGCTCGAAATCGTTATCAGTGATGCATGGCGCAGATGCATCCACTCCTTGTGATATATAATTTCCAATAAAATTATATTATTCTTCGATATTACTATACTTTTTGCCTCATATCTCTGTTAACTGTCTCTGTTTTGCATTTCTTTTTACTTTCTTCTCTTGCTTTGTGTGCTACATTGAGGAAGTTTGGTGACTTGAACTGGTGCACATCGGTGCAAAGCATTTCTACGCTGAAACCAGTCACCCAGTCAGTCGGTCGGTGAACACGGGCAGTAATCAAACCAAATTTATCTAGACTCGTTTAATTATTGCTATTCACGAAAAACTCATATTGAATAAAAGTCAGACATCATTTGTATCCAGGTTGTATCATACGTCACGCCAGCTATAATTATCATAAATAATTATAGTATAATTGATGAAATGATTATGTGAACAATAATAAAATTGTGTTTTTGAAACGTCATCCAGTAAATAATAATACTGTTTCTATAGTTTGGTTTGTAAGGATTAGTTATGTTTTACGGGTTGATCACGGATTGACATCAGTTAGAGAACCATTGAAAACCAGGGAGTACTGGACAGCTGCTGTTTCATCCTAGTTTGGGAATCATCGGCAGTACGCACCCACTGGGATTCGAACCCGGGACCTTCCGGTTACAAGGCAAGCTCGTATACCATTCAGCCACTGGGACCCGATTCAATGGCTCGTGAATTCTAACTTCTGGGGTCGCGCTAAATCACGAATTAGTAGAAGTTAGAATTCACGAGCCATTGAATCGGGTCCCAGTGGCTGAATGGTATACGAGCTTGCCTTGTAACCGGAAGGTCCCGGGTTCGAATCCCAGTGGGTGCGTACTGCCGATGATTCCCAAACTAGGATGAAACAGCAGCTGTCCAGTACTCCCTGGTTTTCAATGGTTCTCTAACTGATGTCAATCCGTGATCAACCCGTAAAAAATACTGTCTCTCTCGCTGTGTGATATGTCTAATAAACGAATTAATATAACTATTAGCATAGCAATAACAAATTTTGTTATTTTACGAACCTGAAGAGGAGAATTTACTGAGAAGAACATTTTACGTTGAGAATACAAAAAAACTTTTGCAAAGTCAAAATTACACTGTAAAGTTAATATGTATTTTGCCATCATTGTAAATCACTTTTGAAAAATCAATAATTCACCTCTGTTGTTGCCAAATACCAGTTTCTGCAGTAGAAAGAAGTCGGAAACACACTCACTGTCTTTAATAAATTTATGTTTACTTTGTAAATGCCTGTGAATGATGAGTCAGTTGAGATGCTGTGACAAGTATTGACAAAGGTGTTGTTCAGTTATGATGCTTCTGATGGAACCAGTACCTAAACCTCCATGCAGCCATGCTGGATGATGTTCACTAATAGGTTCTGATAAGACCAGTGGAAGTCTGTCCTTCACGTTGCTCTGAAGTAGTGGGAGGATTGACAATATCACTTCAATGTGCATATAACAGTTAACTTGCTCGTGTGGAGCTAGGCACATAGGTCGTTCTATGCGGGTCTTATCAAAACGTGTTACAGAACATCCTTCAGCATGGCTGCAAAGAGGAGGCACTGGTTCAATCAGAAGCACTATAAATGAACACCTTGTCAATACCTGTCACAGCATCTCAACTGGCTTATCATTCATAGTTATTTGCCAGTTGGTTCTATTGTTAAACTTCCTTTTGATACGGACAGCTACGATAGTGATGTAATCCTTATTATTAATAATTTTTGCTTTATTCCAAAACGGTACTTTTGATACAGAATGGAATTCTCAGCATTTTTACTACAACATTACATCCAGTTAGTACACTAACAATGAATAAAATTCTTCATAGATTAAGGGTAATCTCAGTTTTAACAACAACATATTTGCATGTCGGTTGCAAAGTCAAAGTTGAACAGAGTGTTTGATGCTGTTAGAAAAGTAGGTTCTAGCATCTTTACTGGTGTAAGCGGAAGAAAGAAACAAAGCTGCACATAACAGAAAAAAGGGAGAGAGAATTAAAAGAAAGAAAGAAAACGTTGTACCTATAAATGACATGAGTTGGAAAGACGAGATCCAATTGTTCTACTGACTATTTATAAGTCATAAGTTTCACGCCTAATGCTTTCTTCTTTGTAGCACAGAACACGACCTAAGTTGGGTATGGTTGCGTTTTTGTACTTTTTAGTCCGAGCATATAGTTTTCTATATAGGCTTCTGGTTTTGGCTGATGAGATACAAGGGGAGAGTTGGGAATGAAGGAGGTGGTGGTGTGAGTTAGATAGAATGGATTTAGCCCATTTTTCACTTGAGTCCATGTGCCTGTCGACCAGAATATTAACAAGCTGGTTAAGTGGCACATTGCTTACTTACCCTGCTGACAACCTTTAACATCCTGATTAGCCCTGGAAAACTGAGGAGGAACAATAGAGAATAATAGGCAGAATGCGAGAGTTAAAGAATCGTAGGAGTAAGGGTTGGGTTATACCACGATGTCTTATCTTCTTGCTTGATGTAGAAGGTAAGACAGAATATTTTCTTGGATATCATCAAGATTTGAGACGACCAGGAAAGATCAGCAGGTAGAATGACGTCTAGATACTTAATTTCCAACTTGGTTTCTATTTCAGTGCCATCTATGTTGCACACCTCGTGAGTGCTAACCAGTTTGTTTAGGTCAGATTTATGCCTAAAGGTGAAATCGATTGTTTGGCATTTAGAGGGATTTAAGGTTAGACGGTTTTCCTTGGACCACTGGCTGATTTCTGATAGAAAGCCATTTGGTTTGGAGGAGTTACTTTGACAGTATCTTTGACAGGCAAAGATACAGTCAGGGCGTCAGCATATTTGACAAACTTAATGTCATTTGAAGATGATAAGTCATGTAGAAATAAAGAAAAGAGAAGTGGGGAGAGTAGTACAGCACCTTGGGGGACACCAGCTTCAATGAGCACAGCAGAGGAGGGTTTACCTTTGTATACGGTGTACTGAATTCTGTTTGGGAAGTAGGAATGCAACCAGTTGGTGACCTAGGTTAATTCGATAACTCTATATTAGATTTCACTTCTTCCTGAAACCGTCTCCTCCACGTCACCTTTGGAATTGCGTCGAAATTGTCGTTTTTGTTATCCGTCTCCATTTTAGGTCATGGGGTGCATGATCTCACTCAAAGATCTTCTCAGAGTAAGTCCAGTACCTCTCCATTTCTTTCAGCCTATTTTTTGGAAAAGAGGTCCTTGTTATCTGTGCTTTTCGGCCAAATATCTGATCTTCAGTATGGAGCAACTGCCAGCTAGTTGATGACAGTCTGCTGTAGTCTATAGGAATTTACTTTCCGCAAAGTACTAAGTCTCAGAAGCGTAAATAAGTGCTGAAAATCGGAATCTTATTCACTATGCTGAGCTCAGTGATTTCAGATTAACGAAGGTCTGTCCTGTCGTTCCCATCGTGTCTCTATCATCTCCATCCCTTCTACCTGCTGTTGAGACGATACTGTCTAGATGGAATGGAAGAGACGACTTTCCCTGGATTTCATCCGTTTGTATTGGTTGGTTCTTATTGTTGTCAGTTGGATATGTTTATCCCTGCTCGTCATATTAACTAACTCATATATATATATACACACATGTACCAACAGAAATCAATGATTAGGCATAGAAAAACAAAGTGTCTGCTTACAGTCATTTGGTGGGGTATGAAATACAAGAACATTGTCTTCTCCTAAATATCGACTAGTTTGAACAGTCTCTGCATATAATGAGTCTTCAACTCCACCGATATGATCACTGATGAAATTCCTGGGCAAAGAAGAAAAAACAGATAAACAACAATGAAGTATACAGAATGACAACTATCTGGAGTGAGACGTGGATAATAAACAACACCTGAAAGGAGACAGACTCTTGAAGTAAGTACTGATGATCACCGTTCTCTCCTTCTCTCTCTCCCTCTCTCTCTCAGTAACTTTTACTTTACTAAGCAGTGTAGATGTTAGAAGGTGAAGGATACTTAATGACATATAAAACTATGTCAGATCAGGAAATCGAGCGCTCTGATTGGTCGACTTGAAGTACACTATTGTCCAGTCAGATTATTCAGTCCACAAAGCAGCATAAACCTTCTATTTCAAAATCAGTTATCTTAAATTATTGATTTAAATGTAATCACTGATCGATATCAGTTAGAGAACCAATGAAAACCAGTGTTGGAGTCCTGAACAGCTGTCTAGTTCTGGTCTGAGATTCATCAGTAGTACCACCCACCACAAGGGTTCGAAACCAGGATCTTTCGGCTACTAGACAAGCTCGTGGACCATTCAACCACTGGGACAACGGTGGAATCAACGGTCCATAAATTCTAACTCCTACCAATTTTTATGATTTTAAAGCGACCACGAGTCTACCTTCTACCCGGAAGGTCTTGGATTCAGACCTCAATGGGAGTATACTGATGATGAGTCCCAAGCTAGGATGAAACATCTGTTCAATACTACAGTGCTTGTTTTCACTTCCTCTTTATTACTTGAGTTTATCATTTGAGAAGTGTACTCATGAATAATGAAAGAAAGTTATTATCCATACCGCCTACAACCATAGTAACAGAGAATAAATCGTAGGGTCTAAGAGCGGATCTACAACTGCAATATTGAAGAGAGTTGTCTGCTATAATGCACTTTTTTCTCCGGATGGAGGCATCATTTCAGTATGACATAACATTAGAAATGTGACACCATGTATTGAAGATAAATACATATTGTGGTTAGGAAGCTGAATTCCCCCAATATGTTTGAAATGCTTACTAGACAATGACTAGTTAGCATCTCTTCTAACTATTCTTGGTTGTTGAAATGGAGTTCGACTACAGAAAATGAATCGACCAAGGTTTAACAGATAGATTATTTGGTTAAATTCCCTCTGAATGACGTTTGGGGTAATTTTGTAATTAGGTAAAGTTAAACTTTGAGCACCACTAATTACCAATCAGCGAATGACCTTGAACGCACCAATCACAGGAAATAGGCATTTGTGTTTAAGTAAAACATATACTTGATATGTACCCACATGATGTGTGTTTTGTTTTTGACAGTCTATTATATTTTGCTATGTGTATATGGATCGATATTCCATTATAACTGACATTATGCTTTCGTCTGTCCACTAACTAAATAAACATGTATGACCTTGTTGTCACATGATATTACAACCAATCATGTTAAGACGTTATCTTATTGGTTCATGTGTATTAGCCATTTTCATATATACTTTTGTATTAGACACTTTTGTCACAATTGCTGTTCACACATTTCGTACATTTGTACCATTTCACTCACACTCTTGTGTGACATTTATTTTCCTTGACTGGAAAATACAACTATCATCGTAAACCTGGTGGTCTTCTGATTTCACACTTTCCGCGTCAGGACTATTAACTACTCGACGAGTACATAACAAGACTTATTGAAAAAATTCATAAAAACTGCATAAAAGTGTTTCGTAGGATACCTTTCTCTGATTCGTGATAAAAACATCTCCCAGTTAGTTGAGCATAGGAGTATCAATTGAAAAGTTACACCGCAGTCTTTACATATATATTCATCTAAATGACCATAAATGACATACTTTTGATATCCATTAATGGCACTAATCTTGTTCTTTAACCTTCCCCAAAAGCCTTAGATCGAACTGGTGTGGTTTCTTTTTTTTTTTTTTTGATTTACAGCTTGATTCCACACTGTATTTTTGGTACAAGTACGGAATTTTCAGCATGGATATCGGTAGCCCAAATTTTGCAGGCCGACCATAGATATCAGGTGTGCGTCGGTGCGGGCTCGAACCCCGGACCATGTGCATGGTCGGCGAGAGTCCTAACCACTGTGCCACCGACGCACTAGAATGGTTGACTCTGTGGTCAATATATACAAGGGATGACAAGGAGTTATAACCTTTCCACTCATCCAGGTGTTGAGTGACAGCTTCTCCTCCCAATAACGAAGTAATTCTGTCCATTTTCCATGACTCAAAATCTCTGCAGTGTTGGTACCACTAAACAGTTGATCCGGGACTACTTTCTATGTTTCAGCAGCTACACCTGTCGCAGGCTGTTTTGAAATCCAGTAATTACAAATATACAAAATCTGGGTTAAGGACAAGTGGGACCTGGCAAAACATTTTCCTACGAAATATTACAGTAATCAGTTTAGCTTTCCCGACACCAACTCGTCTCATACAAACTGCACAACGATGCACATATCCGTCAACTGACCAGTTGAAACTTTTTATACTCATGACACCTCCACATGAACAAAACTTCTCCTTCCCAAGCAACCCCACATCCAGTCAATACTGCTAAACCTTATCCTCACCAAATTGCAAACTCGACTACATCAGGGTAGGTATTTGACTCGAAACAAGTGGAACAGAAGCTTTAATTCACGTGGATGATACTCATAGGGCTATTCAAGGTCTTTGACAGATTGTTAATTAATGATGCTTAAAATTTAACTTAGCCTGTAATTACTATGCATTTTTCTCCTAGACTGTGTGGCATTATTTTGACATTTGTATATTAAAACAATTAGTCCCTTTGATAAATTTGAATAAGGCACTTAGAAGGCAAATTTTGCGAGATAATATCTTCATTTCGTAGTTTCTTTATAGCCGTTTTACAACAAACATGGTTAACAATAATAATGATAAAATAAAATACATGAAAATTACTCAGTTAAATAAAAAACACAAAAGTACATACTAAGGACCAATCATATTTAGATAGGCCATGTAGTCAGTTCATGGTAGGCGAAGATTGAAGTCTTTTGTTTTTTGTGCATACAGTTTAGGATGGATGTATGTGATTAATTCAAAGTGCTTCTATCACTTTCAATAATCTTGAATTAGAGTTATGTTATGAAATAATTGTGTGGCAGTCATCAATATTGATTTTGTGACATAATTAAGTGTTCTGCGAAGGATGATGCTCATGAATAAAGATTCTATGTCAATTGAGCACATAACCTTTTCCTTAATGTTCAAGGTGTCTGGCATATCTGTCAGATCAAATGAACTATATACAGAATGATTTGATAATGAGTCACTTACAGGTGTAAGGACCTCTGTAATCTATTCTGCTGTGACACCTATATAGATAGAACCAACAGAATGTTCCAATTTAGCAGTCGAAAAGAACATGTTCCAAAATGGCTACTAAATCATATAGAAAATTCCAATGAGATTAATCTGAACAGAAATCCAGCATCATACATTGCAAAACATTTATTAATGTCAGGTCACAAAATCAATATTAATGCCCAAATTCTTTCAAACCATTTATGACTGTTTATAAAGTTATATTTGTAAAAGCTCAGCGAAATTGAAATGATTAATTCCAACGTTTCGTTCGGCAATCTGGTCCGAACGTCTTCTGGAAATTAATCGAAATTAACATAACAAAGGTTTATATATAAAAAGGACATCTCTTGTTTTAAATCGTTTGTCCTGTCATATGAATCAAGAAACAGCTATCAATAGGTATAGTAAACAGTGGTTCTCTAACTGATGTCAGCTCATGATTAAATCCTCCATGCAAAACAAAAATTGTATGAACTATGATCAAAAATTTTGACCTCAGACTTTCAAAATTTGTCTACTTTTGTTGAAATATATGTGTATATGCAGTATAAAATGGTGTGTGTGTGTGTGGGTGGGTGAACAGTCATAAAACATTTGTTATTCTCATATGAGCTGTGATCAAGATTTGTTATGTTAAATTCGATTAATTTCCCTGAAGAAGTTTGGACCAGATTGCCGAACGAAACGTTGGAATTACTCATTTCAATCTCGCTGAGATTTTACAAATATAACTTTATAAATGTCTACTTCTCACTCAGCGCTCAATTATTTCGCAACTATTCGGTCAAATCTTGATCACAGTTCATATGCATTAATGACTGTTTCACAATTATTTCATCATAGAACTCTAATTCAAGGTGATTGAAGGAGATGGAAGCACTTTGGATTAATCATCACACAGCCTAAACTATGTGTACAAAAAACAATAGACTTCAATCTTCGCCTACCATGAACTAACTACTTGACCTATTTAAATATGATTGGTCATTAGTAAGTACTTTTGTGTTTTTTATTTAACTGAGTAATTAGTATACAATTGGTGGATGGTGGCTAGCAGTGGAATCCAGGATGCGTATTTCGTCCTATTTAGGACTCGTCAGCTGGATGTACCTGCATTTCTCAGTGAGTGATGATGTTCCCACCGAGGCTCGAACCCAGTACCCATAGTTTCGAACGCCAAAGCGTTATCCACTAGACCACTTGGGCCACGAGAGCCACCTCTTGTGCAACGGGTCATATTAATTATTGAAATGAAAAATCAAAAATTTAATTCAATAATTAATATGACCCGTTGCACAAGGGGTGGCTCTCGTGGCCCAAGTGGTCTAGTGGATAACACTCTGGCGTTTGAAACTATGGGTACTGGGTTCGAGCCTCGGTGGGAACATCATCACTCACTGAGAAATGCAGGTACATCCAGATGACGGGTCCTAAATAGGACGAAATACGCATCCTGGATTCCACTGCTAGCCACCATCCACCAATTGTATACTAATTAAATACCCAGACATCGTCGAAGCATCTGCACAAGAAGCCGACATGTCAACCTGAGACCGAGCACTTCGGTCCAATCAATCGACGGGAAAATCAAAAATTCAATTCATTAACTGAGTAATTGTTATGTATTTTATTTTATCATTATTATTGTTAACCATGTTTGTTGTAAAGCGGTT